ATCAATTTATTAAAGATAATTACTTTTATTTAAATAATGAGTATATTATATATTATACTTTTAGTATTATTTTACAATATATTTTATATTTTAAATTAATTCATATAATTTTTTAATATTTTATATTTTTTATATTTTCAAATCTTTAATATTTTATATTTTTTATATTTTCAAATCTATTTAAAGTATTAATAAAAGAAATCAATTAAAAATACAAATAGAGCTTCATATAGAGGAGGTGGTTGGAGTTACCCCCCTCTAAAAAAGCATATGCCCAAGAATATGCTTTGGGGAGGCTGCATTTTGCAGCCTCCCCGTTGGAGTTGCTCTTAGGGAGGGATTTAGGGGAAGTGGGGTAGGGGAGAGAGAGTGTGAGAGAGATGAAGAGAGAGAGAGAGAGAAACAGAGTGAAATACATACCCCTTTAAATAATAATTGAAAAATACCAAAAATTTTAATCAAATAATTATTGAAAATTTATGGTCAAAATAATAATAACAATAATAATAATGAATAATTAACTATTAATTTAAAAGTTTTATTAAAATAATTAAATTTATAATTAGCAAAACTATTAAAATAATATAATACCGTATTTTTAAATCGTAGAAAAATCTTGAGGAATTGACAAAATACAAATACTCTTTTAAAAAAATAATATTTAAATACCAGAAAATTATTTAAACTCGTATTAGAAATTTACAGTCATTACAGACTGGATTCCATAGATAAAAATTAAAATATATTTAATAAGTAGTATGTGAGTTTTAGTCCCACATTGGCTAATTGAATGTATTTTAGTTTATTCAAATTAACACGTGTGTTATATATGTTATAATAAATGTGTTAATATTATACACTTGTGTTGGTATATAAGCGATCGTGCGAGCAAGCGAGACAGTGCGAGCGGGCTCTTGCGTGCGTGCTTTGGCGCCCGGGCTCGGGCTTGTGCGCGCGGTCCGCCCACGCGGTTTGGCGTGTTTTTTTTTACACGTGCTGTCTTTAAACGAGCTTAAACTTTTAGCATGTGCTCACTTAAAACCGGTTGAACGTTTCATACATTACAAACGTTACAATGATTGAATGAGTTTTATTGCAGACGTTATAAACATTGCAATAACTGGAATTCAAATCTTTGTCTCCCATGAACCTTATAAAAGGGCTTATTCTGATCATTTGAAACACACAGAAATAGAAAAATAAAATCTTCCGTCTTTTCTTATTTTAATAGTTATATAAACTGTTAAGTATTCGAGGTTCTCGCGAACTGAAGAAGTAGTCGTGATGTTCACAAGAAGAGAGCGTTTCTTTGGACCGTAGCCGTCTCATCATCAGAAGTACTGTGCAGACCCAATGCTACCGTAGGTGGTGCATAGGTTATTCAAGGTCAGTCATTTGTTAAGAGGGTGATTCGACACTTCTGTAAAATATTTCAAACTTGAAGTGTATTTAATATGATGTTTTCTAACTTTCAGCTCTTTTATTTCTTTCATATATGATTTGTTTTATACTTTTTTGGATCTGTTCTTATGATTGTTTTTCCCAACAGTAAGGTGTTGGCATCTTCTCACGAAGACACTAGTGGAAATGGAGGAGTAAGGTTGTGAGATATTTGAGACACATGAGAGTGGGGTTTCTTTTCTATTTCAGCATTGTTAATTAATCTACTTCGTAACTCACTCTTTCAATAACAAAATAGTAAATAAATCATTTCACTTTTTATTCCTAAAAAATCTGATATTGATCTAATAAATAATGTTGATGTTCATAATCTACTGCATCAGTAAGAAAACAATAGATAAATCATTCCATTTAAAATAATGCATGTTTTTGGTATGTAATCAAATGATATCCCGTGCAATGCTCACCTTCGTATATGACAATGGAAGATGCTAAGGGCTTAGGA